CCCTGCGGTGTCACCGCGCACCCTGGCCCCAGCCTGTACCTTCCGACATGGTGAGGTCACCAGATGGTGGCTGTGCAGCTCCTGACGCGATGGAGTCGGGCCAAAACCTCTGAACCGGCCTGTTCTGAGCAGTTTTCTTCTTTGTTTTTGGAGTTTCGGAACAACTTGAATCCAACATGGGCTGAAGAATCCGCCTTCTAGCATTGATGAACCTGTACATCGGGGCCAACAAAGGAACAACCGTCATCACAACGACCTGTGACGGCCTCGTGCGGGGGCGGCTGGGATTCCAGCGAATGAGCGATCGGAGCAGCTCAGACTAGTGTACAGCAGACACCGGCGGCGGTCACAAGCACACTGGCTACATGTCCACAAACAGGGTGAGCTGGCTACAACCCCACTGGAATAAAGACCGCCTCCTTCGTGTCACCCCTTCTCCACTGGGACTGATTTTGTCCCCGTTTGTGAAGGTGATATTCATCATACGGTGATGATACCGTCAGGCGTGACTGTGACGTTACTGTCTCTCAGGAGAGACAGGTGGATGCAGCACAGCCAGGCCCCATGCGGCCTCACTGTGTCCCTGAGTGGGCCCTGCCTTAGCGCACGCGGTCGCTGGCTCCATCTTGACCACAGAGTGTGGTCTGCGGCAGGAGTTCCGGGTCGTGAGCTACTTCTTAGATGGCAAAGTCACAGTCACCACACTGCCCTGGACACACAGCTCGCACCGTGATAAAGTCAAATGGACTTCCGCTGCCCTCAGACCGAACGCCACACACGGCGCCGCCAAAGTGCTCGGGCAGCGAGCCAGGCAGGACGCGCCTTCACGGAAACATCCGGCAGTGAGTTTNTCTGGGGAAATGTGCTCATTTCTGGGCATGTGGACTATCTATCTACTTTGGTCTCTACTGTTCCACCAGAAAAAAAAAAAATCCAGCACTGAATCACAAATTATGAGACACAGATCAAAGGAAAACCAACTCACTGTCAAGAGACGTGCTGCCCCGATCTTCTCTGCGGGGCCCCCTTGTGAGTGACCCTGATGCTCTGGCCGAGGCCGTAGGACCAGAGTACAGAGCAGTCACTTTCCTTATGTGCCATCAGCTAGGACTCCACGGTGGCTGTCCCAGTGACACAGTCACCAGCCATAGGCAGGTTCCCGCTTCCACAAATACACGATGCCCCTTCCCAACTTTTGCCTGATAGAGTGGTTTTACTGTACATGTCTGTGATGACGGGGGGCCCAGCACTTCTTCGTGTGCTTGTTGGCCTTTTGGGTTTTCCTTATATCTTGTCATTTTTCTCTTGATACCCAGTCTTTTTCTTAAGGTGCAGGAATCCTCCCTTGATCCTACGTATGAACTGCCTGTCAGCTTTAGATGGTAAAAAAGAGAGAAAAAGACTTCTCAGGGTGTCGCCCATTTATAGTCCATGGCGTCCTTCACTGAACAGGAACCTGCCCCTCTGGATATGGCCAAACCCACCACAGTTTTGTCCTGTCATCTTTGCATATGGGGTCTTCAAAGGTCTTCCTCACCCCAAGCAACAAAGATAAGCTCCCACAGTATCTCCTTCTGACACCTGACAGCCAGCCTCTGTCTTTATCCCCCATCTCTGCACCGCTCTTATCAGAGCCACCAGGTGCCTCCAGCCATGGCTTCTCTGGCTCGATTCAGTCGAGCGCTTCCTCCAACCCGGGGCTGCGCTCTGGCACAACCCTCTAGTTTGCAAACTCAGGGCTACACTAACACGCCCAGAGCATAAACCGTTAGGGCTTCACAGCTTCTGACACAGATGCTGTGTTGAGATCATATCAGAAAAAACTGAGTTAACATATAACAAAATGTTTTTAAAATATGCCTGATTTTATCTACCAGCCATTTTCTAAAAACGTCTAAGCAATGAAAGCCTTCATATCATTAAAATGTTCCTTTAAAACCCTCTGGGATAAGAAAACTCCTGATTTGTGCTAAAGCCATTATTGGCTTTAATGGGCTGAAGTCTCAGGTTCCTTTAAATCATGAAAGAAAAAACAGACACCTCTGTGCAAGATAATGCCTCCCAAATACTATTTGTGTATAAAATACCTACTACCTGTTCAGTTAACGACACTAACTAGTCCTCTATAGACTAACTAGGGTAGAGCAGGACGAGACCTTGCTGGGACCTTCCCTGTGCAGAGCCAGACCTGGCCGGGGCCGTGTGATGGACAGCCGGCCCGCCTCCCTGACCAGCATGCACTGCGTTAGGTCACGTGCTTAGACGGTACGGTGCTGTAAGTCACAGATTTCAGTTCAAAAATGGCGCAGTCATCTTAGGTCTCAGTGAAGGTAAGAGGATCTAATTGTAAAAAGGGCAAAAATCACTTATGCTGAGAATTTCTTTTAGAGTGGATCCAGCAACGCATGTAGGCCAAACATCTATGTTATTAAGGACATCTGTAGAAAGCAACGAAATGTGAACCCTAAACATTTAACCCAAATATATTTCTTATTTTCAACATTTGCTGGATCATTATTTATTTACTCATCTCTCTAGAGACTAGAATTCCACTTGGCATAAATAGTACTTTTGAGCTAGAATACACCATGTAAACCAGTTTCTTCCCTTTTACAAAGCATTTAAAGCCTGGAGGTGACAGTCACGGGCCGGGGTCTCACCTGGTTAGATTTCATGGCCACCCTCTCACCTCTGACCTACAGAGATGGAGAGACAACACAGTGACTCCCTTTCTGTCAAATCAGAACATTTCCTGAAACAATACACTTCACAGCTGGGAGCCAAACCTCCAGCAAGACTGACAATTGGAGATGCACTTTTAAAAACCACATCCGGGCCGGCCGAGTGGCGCAATGGTTAAGAACTGGCTTGGGACGCCAGAGGGCCCCGGTTCGGATCCCACATATGAGGG